CTGGGGGAGTGAACCAGCAGGTGGAAGCCCTCTCTGTCCCTCTCTGTCCCTCTCTCCGCCCCTCTGCCTTTCAAGTCGATGAACAGAAGTGAACACTCGTGGACACAGAGGCGGGGTGTCCGGCCTCTGCCTCCGGGCGACCGCAGGCTCCTACATCCACCACTGTCTCATCAGGAACCAGACCGACGGCCCTGGACCGGGAACCTCCAGACCCGAGGCAGAGCAAGCTTTTTCCTGCCTGAGTCACCCCTCTCAGGTGTGTCACGGTGACGAACGCGGGCAACGCAGCTGGGCCACAGCCCCAAGGCCTGCGCGTGGCCACGAGGGCCCTGTGGCGCCGCGGCTCAGCCTCCGCCTCACTGGCCAAGAGCACCGGGGAGGAGGTGCTGACTTGGAGCGGAAACCCCTGGGTGGGGGGCGGGGACACGAAGCGGCCAGGCCGCCCATCGCGCTCTGCTGTCTCCGGCCTCCCCCGCCTTGTCCAGGAGGCTTCAGGGCGCGCAGAGGGATGAGCGCCTGCGCCCCGCCTGCGCCAGGAGCTGCTCTGGACGCTGTGCAGGGGTTGGAGCCCTGGGCTCAGGGTTTTCCTTCCCCCAGGCTTTAGGTCAGCCTTGACCCTGTGTGCGTGTGGGGGGTGACTTGTTCTTTCTTCCCAGAAAGCCCGAGGTTGAAAGAGAATAAAAGGGGGCCAGTGCTGTGGCCTGCAGTACTGTTAGCCCATAGGGGCTCCAGGTTCAAGTCCCTGCTGCTCCACTTTTTTTTTTTTTTTAAGTTTTTGATTCAGTGAGAGAAATGCATAGGAGAGTGAGGGCGTCAGTCTCACCCAAGGGAGAAGGGAGAGCCAAATGCTTAGGCTCCTGCACCCACAGGGAAAACCTGGATGAAGTTCCTGGCTCCTGGCTTCAGCTTGGCCTGAGGGAAAGGGGGAGGGGGAGGGGGATGGGTTGGGGAAGAGGGAGAGGGAGAGGGAGAGGGAGAGGGAGAGGGAGAGGGAGAGGGAGAGGGAGAGGGAGAGGGAGAGGGAGAAGCCCTGGCAGCCATTTGGGGAGTGAATTAACGGATGGAAGTCCTCTCTCTCTCTCTCTCTCTCTCTCTCTCTGTGTGTGTCTGTGTGTGTCTTTCCCTCTCTGTATAACTCTGCCTCTCAAATAAATAAACCTTTTTAAAAATTAAATGACTTGGGGCCAGCATTGTGGCACAGTAGGGTAAGCCACCACCTGCGATGCCAATATCCTTATGGGTGCCGGTTTCAGTTCTGGCTGATTCCACTTTTTTTTTTTTTTAATGTTTTATTTGAAAGTCAGAGTTACACAGAGAGAGGAGAGAGAGCAAGAAGTCTTCCATCCGCTGGTTCACTCTCCAATTGACTGCAATGGCCAGAGCTGCGCCGATCCAAAGCCAGGAGCCAGGAGCTTCCTCCGGGTCTCCCATGTGGGTGCAGGGGCCCAAGCACTTGGGCCGTCTTGCGCTGCTTTCCCAGGCCACAGCAGAGAGCTGTGATCCAGTTCTGATCCAGCTTCCTGCTAACGCGCCTGGGAGATCAGCGGAAGACGGCCCAAGTGCCTGGGTCTCTGACACCGTGTCTGAGACCCAGATGAAGTCCCAGGCTCCTGGCTGCGGTCTGGCCCAGCCCTGGCCATTGCGGCCATTTGGGGAGTAAAACAGCAGATGGAAGACCTCTCTCTCTCTCTCTCTCTCTCTCTCTCTCTCTCTGACTCTGCATTTCAAATAAATAAATAAGTCTTGCGAAAAATGCACGTTGATGAGGAAGTCAAGATCCAGACCCAGGCACTCACTCTCCTACTTAGACCCCACGTGCTGGGCTCCCAGAGCTGCCTGAGACCCCACAGTCTGGGGGAGCCGCTGAGCGCCGACTGTGCGCCAAGCACCGTGCTGGTGCTGGAGACACAGCGCTGCTCCCGCCCCGCTGGGCCCGGCGTGGGGATGCAGCCAGCAGCCCGGGGATGCTCTCGACCCCTCACTCTGCAGAGTGCGGCAAGAGCACAGGCTTTGCCCAGAGGGAAGGGGGGGTCAGGCCCGTGCCAGCTCAGCAGCCTTCGTCCTGGCCCTCGCAAGCAACAGAAACATAATTTAAGTCGTTTAAGAAAAAGTAGGGCCAGCGCCGCGGCTCAACAGGCTAATCCTCCTCCTTGCGGCGCCGGCACACCGGGTTCTAGTCCCGGTCGGGGCGCCGGATTCTGTCCTGGTTGCCCCTCTTCCAGGCCAGCTCTCTGCTGTGGCCAGGGAGTGCAGTGGAGGATGGCCCAAGTGCTTGGGCCCTGCACCCCATGGGAGACCAGGAGAAGCACCTGGCTCCTGCCTTTGGATCAGCGTGGTGCGCCGGCCGCGGCGGCCATTGGAGGGTGAACCAAAGGCAAAGAAAGACCTTTCTCTCTCTCTCTCTCTCTCTCACTGTCCACTCTGCCTGTCAAAAAAAAAAAAAAAAAGTAGGAAGGGGCTGGCGCTGTGGCCGGTGTCGTGGCACAGTGGGTACAGCTGCTGTGGGCCAGTTAGGAGCGCTGGTTGGAGTCCCAGCTGCTCCACTTCAGATCCAGCTTCCTTCCACTGAGCCTGGGGAGGCACGCGCGATGACTCCATGACGTGGGCATTTCTGCCTATGCGGGAGACCCAGATGGAGTTCTAGGCTCCTGACCTTGGCCTGACCCAGCCCCGGCTGTTGAGGCCACTTGGGGAGTGAACCACTGATGGACGAGCTCTCTCTCTTTGCTGCTCTGCCTTTCAGATAAGTAAATGTATAAAGAAATGTGTTTTTAGAAATGCTCTGGAGTAGAGATTAATATACCATAAAAAGTGAAAACTTTTCAAAAGAGTGAATTTTTTAAAAAGGAAAAAAAATAGTAAGAAAAATGCTTAGGCTCCAGAGGTGGGATTTCAGGCATGGCTAGATCCAGCAGCTAAAGCAACGGGATCCGTTCTCTCTCCTTCTCTATCTCTTTACTCTGTGTTGGTCCAAGTGGCGGTAAAAATCATGTCCAGCCTGCATCCTGCCAGCCAACAACCCTGCTGGAAAATACTGCCTGCTTCCAAATACGTCCAGCCACAGGCCCAGCCAGGAGAACCGAGAGCCACAGTGACTGGCCAGACCTGGACCACAGTCACATCCCTGGAGCCCGGGGGCGTGGCAATCCCACCTGGACCCCAGGCACTGAGAGTGGAGGCCGGGACCAGGGTCAGGGAAAGATTGCAGGTCCTGCAGATCCCACTGCAGGCCCGGGCCTCTTCCTCGCCTTCAGCGGCTGTCAGCACATTGACTCCCAGATCCCCAAGCACCTGTCCCCTGCAAGGTGGGGACAGCAGAGGAACTCGCCTCGGGGCACCTACTAAGCGCTGGGCGTTTGTATCCACACTCCCTGCCATCGCTGGGCTGCAAGAAGAAACAGGCCCGAGCCGGAGTCACTCCTGGACACAGACGCTGCTGACAGCCGTGTCTGTCCCCGGCACGCACGAGCACGCCCCTTCTCTCTGCGGCTGCACACGCGCGTGCACACACACACCCCAGCTCAGGAAACAGGTGCTGGGAGAACCTGCTGCGTGGGGGATTGGAGAGGGGCTGGGGGGCCCAGGGGTCTTCTGAGGCTGAGTGCGAGGGTAAACCCCTCCCCGCCTCTCGCCGCCATTGCCATCCCGCACAATGCAGCTGCACAGGCCGGGCTGGGTGGCTCTGCTCTGCCGCAGCCGCAGCAGAGCCTGCCGGGACGGGGGGGGGGGGGCAGCTGGGTGATGCTTCCTCTTGGGCGGGAGGGGGTGGGGGTGGTTCAGGGAGCCTCTGAGGAAAATGGCACAACCCCTGGAGAAGAGCACACTTCCGTCCCGCACGCCTCAGGCTGGTTCCTGCTCTCAGCTATAGCTGGAGGGCATATGGAGGGTGTGGCAGAATGTTCTGGAAGTCAGGTGAGACTGTCCCCTCCCAACACTTCCAGGACACTGACTATAGGCCAGACCCTGACTGTACCTTTTCAATACCTATGACCCCACATTTCTGCAAAGGGAAGCAGACGCCTCCTGCTGGGGTTTGCATGCGTGCCCCAAAAGTCTCTAAGTTACATCCCAATTCATAGGTTCGATGGTGTTTGGAGATGAAGAGGATTAGATGAGGCCATGAGCAGGCCACCATGATGGCGCCTATGGCATTAAGGGGAGAGGAAGAGAGACCCGAGCGGGTGCACCTGCTGTCTCAGTACGTGTGCCTTCTACCGTGTGGGACGCAGCCGGGAGGCCCTCACCAGACGCCGGCTGGCACTGTGCTCCTGAGCTCCCCAGCTCCAGAACCAGGAGCCAAGTACACTTCTCTTCTTCCGAAATGAACTGGGCTCAGAGGTTTCCTTCTAAAGAGAGCAAGACGCCTCTCCGTGGGCAGCTCCGGCCCAGCTGCCCGTGTCACAGGCGAGGCAACAGCGGCGAGCGGAGGGAGCTGGAGAGGCGAGACAGAGGCCCCAGTCTGACCTCAGAGCCTGTATCCCCGCAGCTTCCTCTGTGGCTCCCCAACCCTGCCGCTCGATGCGCCCTGTGCAGGGGCCTCTCTGAGCCGTAGCCCCCCAGCCCCTTCTCCATTCCGTCATAGCACTGTCATCACTAACGACTGTCAATATGCACCCCTGCCTAGTTCTGTGGGGACGCTGCGTCTGACTTGGTTTCGGGGGCTCCTGCACTCACACCTGCCTTGCACATAGTAGGTGCCCAACAAGTGGTGGAGTAGCCAAGTCCTCCAAAGGGGACAGCAAACTCCCCGGCAGCCTGGTTGGCAGCAAGGCCCCCCCGGCCCCGGGCCGTGCCCCCACACCTCTCCCACCGCTGCCACCCTGGGTCTCAGCAGCCACAACCTGCAGAAAAGCTTGACCCCTTTCCCTTGGGGCCACCTGAGGCCGGGAGGGGCCTGGCAGGGACCAAGCGGGGAGCAGGGCCTCCGAGCCGCCAGACAAAGGGCGTGTGTTCTGGGCCAGCGCACTTCCTGGGTTTCCGTTGCAGGAAGTTTGGCACCTGCCTATCGGTGACACCGACACCCAGGCTGGTGCGGGGAGGTCTGGGCCAGGACGGTGCCTCCATCCGGGAGCAGCAGGAGACGCAGCCTGGGCGCTGCATGGCAGGTGAGTGGTGCCAGAAAGACCCTCCCCCCTCGGGCCTTGCAGGCCACCCCAAGCTGGTCCGGAACACATGTGGGAAGGCCCGAGGTCCCAGGCTGCCTCAGGGTGACTTTGGACAAGGCTCGGGTGCCCTGTCATGCTGTCTGCCGGGGCAGCGGGGGGGGGGGGGAGCTCGGGGACTGTCCCGGAGGTACAGGGGTGGGGGGTGGGGGGCAGCTCCTCCTCTATCGGGCTTGGCCCAGCCCTGAACAGCGCTGCACAGTGTGTGGGGGGGGGACATCACCGCAAGCCGGGGACGACCCCGACCAGGGCAGGGGCACCTTGCTCACGGCCTCCCTGAGCCCTGGCTTCCGCACCTGGGAAGGGTGGTGTGTGGGGGTGGGGGTGCCCACCCTTGGGGCCCACAGAGTGTGCCCAGGGCACCCGCTCCTCTGGTTTGAACCCAGCTCTGCCACTTGGCTCTTGTGAGGCCTGAGCCTCCCCAGGTCCCCTCTTTCCCCCGCCCCGCCACATCCCCCTTTTGTGAAGTGGGCGTTACCAGTCGGGGTGCCTAAGGGGCACAGAGGAAGGTGTACAAGGCAGATTCTAAGCGCAGCCACTGTCACTGCTGTGGCTTCTGAGGTTGTGAGACTCAGATGGGCAGAGGGCTGGCGGAGGCAGGAGGGGCAAGGGTCGGGGGGGCCGAGATTTAGGGAAGGGGAGGAGGGGGACACAGAGCAGCCAGGCACCCCCCACCTCCGGACCCCCAGGACCCCCCCGGGGAGGTGGTGAGCTGCAGGACTGTAGGGAGAGCCAGGCCCTAACTGGCTGTCCCCCAGGTGGTGCTGGGCCCAGCCATTGTGGCTTTAATCAAAAGAACAATCTGTTTGCCTCTGAATCAGACCCAGATTCCCTTTCCCAGCAAAGTCCCTGAGCCTCCAGGGACCTGAGCAGCCCATCCCGGCCCCCGGGCTCAGGTTCTGTCCATCCCTACCCCACTTCCATCTGCCCCAGGTTGGGGTCCAGGACACAGAGGGATGGGGTCAGGACACAGTGCCCAGGGTGGCAAACCAAGTGACCTGGCTGTCAGTGGGCCCTGCCTACCAGAGCCTGTCCCCTCCCCCAGGGTGCTGGGGTGCACCTGCAGGGATCCAGACAGGCAGTGACCCCCCCCCACAGCAAATAGAGGTGACAGGCTGCCCCAGCTAGGCGGGCTCATAGTGTGCCTCATGAGGTCAACCCGTCCCATCGTCTGGGTCACCTAGAGGGGCAGGCTGTGGGCAGATCCATTTTACAGACCAAGAAGCTGAGGCCCAGGGTCCCGAGGCTTGGCGAGCAGCCATGGAACCCAGTTCAGACACTTCAGCCAAAGCCCAGGTGTTAGCACAGGCCTCCGTCGGACCGGGCAGGCGGGGCCGCGGACCCAGGTGACCCAGGGCAGGGGGAGTGGAAGGGCCACTGAGGGCCCACAAAGACGCCAGGGTGCGCAGCGGGGCTGGACGCCCACCCCAGGCCAGGGGCGAGGGGCAGGGAGGAGTCTCCGAGGGAACAAAGGGAAGGGGAAGGGGAGGGGGCGGCGCGGGGCGCGGCCGGGCAGGTGGGGGGGCAGGTAGGGGCCGCTTCCGCGGGGCGGGCCCCGGGCCCCCTCCCCCGGCCTCACCTTTTATGGTCACGCGGCGCGGGGCGCGGGGCGGAGGGAACGAGGGGCGGGGAGGGGCGGGCGCGAGGCGCCGCGCTCTGGGCTCTGCGCGCTCGCTCCGGAGTCCGGCGGGGCCGCGGGGGCGCGGGCGGCCCAGGTAAGCGGGCGCGGGAGATGGTGGCGGGGGTCCCAGGCTGCTGTCCCCTTCCGGGCCACACGCAGGTGACAGAGCGGGTGGCCCCGGGCCAGAGTCCACCCCGCCCCCTGGCTGGGACCCCAGCCCCGGCGCCCCTGGAGGGGGCTCTCCGGGACGTGGGGGCCGCTGTCCTGGCGTCGCCGCCCGTCAGTCCCTTCCCCGGTCCCGGGGCCGGGGGAGGGCTCCGCCCGGTGGCGGGGGTCGTGTCCTTGCCCGGAGAGGGGGGAAGCTCCCGCACAAAGAGGCCCGCGTCCCGCACATGGACTGAATTAACTCCGCGGCAGCGCCCCGCGGTGACCCGGCCCGGCCTGCCCCGCTGCCTGCGGAGGCGCCGGGTTTCCCCAGCTCCGGGCCCCCCGGGGCCAGGGGCGGGCGGGGGCGGGGCGGGGTGGGGGGCAGCTCTGCAGGCCGGGGCGACGCCCTAGGTGTGTGCGGTGGCGCTCTTGGCCTTGCTCTTGCTGCAGCCCAGAGCGGAGGGCCCCTGTGAGAGGCTGGGGCAGCCCCCGGATTCCCGCTCCCTGCTCCCAGTCACTTTGGGAGCCCAGTCCTGGCCCCCAGGGGCGCCTGCTGTCCCTCTCGGGGTGAGGGCTACATAACCAGCTGTCCTGCACTCCCCTTCCCACACCAGCCACCCCCTGGCACTTTGTGCAGGAATCCGGGCCCAGAGAGGGTAGGTGCCCTGCTCTGGCCGCCCAGCAGGAAAGAGGTGGGTTCCCGGGTGAAGGTTGCTCTGTGCCTCCTCGGCTTCCCTGGGGTAGGAGGGAGTTGGGGGGAACCCCCACCCCAAGGCAGCCAGGTCTCTGTGGGAGGGCGTGGGTTGGGGTGCAGCCCCCAGCCGCTCACCTCCAGGGGGGTTTAATTGCAGACAGACTGCTTTGTCAAGGTATTAAAGTGCAGAACTTAGAGGTGCCGGGGCTCTTCTAGAGGGGGGCCAAGGAATGGGGAAGGAGGGGACAGTGGGGTGGGAGCACCTCCCCCTTCCTGGTCAGACACCCCCGGCCCTGGGTGCGGGCTGCAGCTGGCCGCCTGGTGCTCCGGTGCGGGCTGGGTCCCAGCCTCTTCCTTCCTCTCGACAGGAAGTGAGTCTCCCTCCCTTTGTTCCCACTTTCTCCGCTTACCCGACTGCATCTGGGATTTGCCCTCCAAGGGAGGGGGGCAGAGGGTCCCCGGGGCGGGGCATGGCGGCTGCCCCGGGGCAAGGGGAGCCGGGCACCCCAGCAGGGCTGGACTCTGATTCCCTGTGAAATCCCCACCCAGCCCCTTCCCCTGGGGCCTGAGGTCCCTGCTGGGAGGATTGGGGGCGGAGGCTGCCCAGCTGTGGCCATCTGGTGTCAGCCCTGGACGTTTCCGAAAAACTGGATAGATCCAGCTTCCCGGAGGAGTGAGGCAGGGGTCAGGGCAGGCTGGGGAGGGGCCGGGGGTGGGGGCGTCCTGAGGTTTGCAGCTTCTGGGGGCGCGGTCCCGGCTGCCTCAGGTGTGAGGACAGCCCTGGACCTGCCGGCTGGGGACGCTCCCCGAGAGTTCTGTGTCTGCCCCGGGCGGGGCGGGGCCGGGCGGGGGGGGGCGGGGTCTCTACTCTGGGGGTAGGGGGAGGCTCACGCAGCGTTTGTGAGGGGGGCCATCGTGGGCTGAGGCCAGGATGGGGGAGCCCTGGGGCCCACACAGCCTTGGGCTCAGTGCCTGGCCCGCAGCCATCTCGGCGGGTGCCCGCCATGCGGTTTATCTCTTCAATTCTCGCACACACCCTGAACGTCACTCGTGAAAGTGGGCTTTTGAACTGCTCACCGAGTGGCGGGTGGCGGCCAGGGAGGCTGCCTCCCCACGCACCGGTTTCTAACCAGGAGGCTGAGCGTTTTAACTCAGTGTAGCAGCCAGTTGAGGAGGGATTCCGAGTGCGTGTGATTTGTCTCCGGCAGTCCTAGAGGGAGCCCGCGGTGGCCGGTGCACTTGGAGATGGGGAGGGGACTCTGTGCACCCTGTGCACGGTCACCCCAGCTCCCAGGGCACCACTGGGTCTCTCCGGGGGCCCCCAGCCCAGCTCAACCCAGCCAGCCCCATTTCTGGGGGTCCGATGGCTGTCTCCTTGTCTGCCCTCTGCCTCGTATGCTTGTGGCCTGGGCCTGACAGTCCTGGCGAGGTGGCCCGGGCAGCACAACAGCAGAGAGGGAGAGATAAGGGGCAATTTTTAGCCTCGTGCCCAGGGAGGATGCCTGTGCCCTGCCCCCCCCCCCCCCGCCCCGTGGACACACACGTTGTCTGCCGAGTGGCCTTAGAGATGGAAAACGGCTTCCACCCGGCACCTGTCCCCATATCTATACCTGGATGGCTACCCCCAGCCACACTCAGGGTGCAGTCGAGTATCTGCAGGGGGTCGGATGGGTGATTGCGAGCCAGCTAGTCCTGTGACGGGGCTGTCACCTCCCTGTGGAAGCAGACAGGGCCTCAGGGAGAGGGCCAGGAATCAGGGAAGGCTTCCTGGAGGAGGTGATGCTCGCTCGAGCAGAATTTCACCCTGTGGGTGGCAGCGGAGGGAGACCAGGTGGGAGGAGCAGGTCAGAAGGGAAGCCGTGGAGGGTGGATGAGTGATCCAGGGTGGACCCAAAGAGGGAGAATTAGGACTTTCTCCTGAGGAGGTGGGAGCCATGGAAGGCTTTTGAGCAGTGGAAAAACAGACTTATGCTCCAGAAAGATCAAGGTCAGGAGGTGAGATTGGAGACCGCTGAGCCCCCTCCTGGGCTCTCCCCAACACTGCCCGGGCCTGAAGCACACCTCGCTTTTGGAGAGGCAGAGAAATGGATGCTGGCCTGCCGGGTGGGCCGAGAGGGCAGAACAGAGCCAGATGGCGCCGGGGGCCCAGGCCCTGAGTTCTAATCCCGGCTCTGCCACTGTGAGCCCTTGGACAAGTGGCTTTACCCCTGAGGTCTCCCAGGTTCCCCTTGGTGGGATGGGAGTAGCAGGTGCCCACCTCTCACGGCAGGAGGGCGGTGTGGGCACAGAGGGGGTGTGGGCATGACGTGCTCACCGTCCTGTCCTCTCCCTCCCGCAGCAGAGCTGGCCTGAGCCTCAGGGACTTCTTCCCCCGAGAGAATCCGGATCCCTTCCTGGGAGGTGACTGATCCAGGCAGGAAGCTTACTCATCCGAGGTGAGCCCGCCAGGGCTGGGGGAGGGGCAGTCAGCAGCCTGTGGCAGGGTCACCTGGTGGGCCCCTGCCCTCCCCCACAGGGCCTCGCCCACCCCCTCCGGCATGTGGGCGGGGCGGGGCTGTTCTGTCTTGCCTTGGGGAGGTGTGCAGGGCGGGGCTGTTTCCTTTTGCATCCTGGGGGAGAGCAAGCCTGCACCACCGGGACCTTGCACTCTGTCCTCGCCCTGCCAGGACCTGAAGCCATGGCCTCAAAGCCCGAGAAGAGGGTCGCCTCCTCCATCTTTATCACCCTGGCACCCCCACGCCGCCACGTGGCCGTGGCCGAGGAAGTGAGGCAGGCGGCTTGTGAGGCCCGGCGTGGCCGCCCCTGGGAGACCCCTGGGAAGGCCCCCGCTGGGAGGCCCAGCCCCTTCAGCCCCGCTCAGCTCTCCAACGGAGGTAAGAGGCAGGCGGGAGGCGGGGAGGGAAGGGCAGCCCCGGGAGTCACTCACTCTTTCAGTCATTCATTCATTCATCTGAGTGCCAGACAGACCCCAGAACCACCCGCCCGGTGTGCCTTCCAGCTCCCGCATTCGCAGCCGTTGAACCTCCTGCGCCTCCGTGTCCCGATCTGTCAGAGCGTGGCTGGGAGCGAGTGTGTGTGTGAGTGGCCCGCGCCTGTCGTGCGGGGAGTGCCAGCTGTGCTCCAGCTGTTCTCGCTGTCCCGGGAGTGGAGAAGGGAGACAAGGCTTTGCGCCCGTGTGGAGGGAGCAGGGTTAATACAGAGGCAGTGTGGGCATTTGGCACGGCCAGTCGGGACCCCTGCGTCTCAGATCCAGCGTTTGGTTCAAGCCCCAGCTGCTCTGCTTCCCACCAGCTTCCTGCTGATGCGCACCCTGGGAGACAGCCGATGACAGGCCAAGTACCTGGGTCCCTGCCGCCCATGTGGGAGACCAGGCTGGAGCTCTGGGTTCCTGGCTTCAGGCTGACTCAGGCCAAGCTGTTGCAGGCATTTGGGGAGTGAACCAATGGGTGGCCAAATCTCTCTCCACTGGTCTGTCTTTCTGCCTTTCAAATAAAATGAAAAGAGAGGGAAGAGAACTGTGAACATCTGATACATGACATCAGCAGACACAGGTGCTATCGGGGTGAAACGTGGTAGAGAGGAGTGACTTTTTATGGGGTAGGCAGGGTGGCTTCCCTGAGGAGGTGACATTCCAGCTGAGACCCGTGTCCCTGGGGTCTGGGGTGGGCTGGCCCTGTGGCCTTGGTCACAGAGCCCTCCTTCCCTGTCACTCCCTGGGAAGTCTCAGCTGTTGGCTTGGCGGGCCTGAGCCCTGGGGCAAGGCACGGCTCTGCCTCGGTGTGAGGCTGACCCCAGGAAGGCAGCTGAGCCCCAGTGTCCCCGGGCACCTGGACAGATGTCCTTCCGTCCCAGAGTAAGGCTGGAACAGTCCTCCTGTCTGTCTGTCACCGCGGAAGCCACCTGGATCCAACAGGAAATGCCGGCCAGGCCCAGAGCGAGGGCCAGCAAGCGCAGAGGGGACTCGAGGGACAGAAGCTCTGGGCCCATCTTTCCTTCCTCACCTCCCACCTCAAGGGCCCCGGCCCTCCAGCACTTCTGGAGGGGAACAGGACCGGGCCGGCCAGGATGCCAGGATGAGTGATCTGATAGGAAAAAATGGGCCCCATCTCGGAGGCTGAGGGAGGCTAGGAAATGTGGCTGAGATGCCAACAGGTGCAGCCCCTCGGAGGCTTTCCTGGGCCCTTGGAATTACCGTGTGTGATGAAGTCAGACTTTCCCGAGGGGGGTGCTGGCTGCTGTTTCCGCTGTCATCCGGGCACTCTCAGGCAGAGCGCGGGTAGTTACGGCCTCACTGGACAAGCACAGTTCCCGGTGAGCTGCTCGAGGCCGTCCCTATAGCAGCTGCTTTAGCTTTCCAGCCTGGAAGAAGCCCCACCTTGCTGGCGCTGCGGCTGGCGTAGCAGGTAAAGCTGCCGCCATGATGGCTGGCATCCCTTGTGGGTGTCAGTTCAAGTCCCGGCTGCTCCACTTCCAGCCCCGCTTCCTGCCGATGCGCCTGGGAAAGCAGTGGAGGATGGCCCAGGACACCCACGTGGGAAACCTGGATGCAGCGCCTGGCCTCACCTGGCCGTGGCAGCCCTCTGGGGAGTGAAGCAGTGGCTCCCTCCCTCCCTCTCTCTCTCTGTCACTCGGCCACCTTGCCTCACTCCTCCCACCTCCACTGGGTGCCTCTCTGCACACACGCCCGCCTCCCTCGCCCCCTTACTCCTGGCTGCTCTCCTCTTGGCTTCTCTGTAAAAAGCTGCTCTCCCTCCTCCTGCTGCTGGTCACTGGGCTCCGGGTGCCCTCTCTGCCCGTGGCCTCACATGCCCCGCACTTGCCTCTCTCCTGAGTTCCTGCCTGCCTTGCAGCCCCCTGCGAGGACCGTAAGCGGGGCGGGGGAGACTGCGGACCTGGCTCCTGCCTCAGGAGCTCCCCTGCCGCCCGGCTCTCCCACCGAGCCTCGAGCCTGATCTGACTGAGCCGAGCTGCGGGGCCCGGGCCTTGCCTTTCCTGCTAATCCTGGTGCTGGGCTCTCGGGACCACAGTTGGAGAACTATCCAGTTTTTTATCTTATTTATTTTTTTTTTTTTGACAGGCAGAGTTAGACAGTGAGAGAGAGAGAGAGAAAGGTCTTCCTTTTTCCGTTGGTTCACCCCCCAATGGCCACTGCGGCCGGCACACCGCGCTGATCCGAAGCCAGGAGCCAGGTGCTTCTCCTGGTCTCCCATGCGGGTGCAGGGCCCAAGCACTTGGGCCATCCTCCACTGCCTTCCCGGGCCACAGCAGAGAGCTGGCCTGGAAGAGGAGTGGCTGCGACAGAATCCGGTGTGCCAGCGCCACAGGCGGAGGATTAGCCTATTGAGCCGCGGCGCCAACCTATCTTATTTTTTAAGATTTATTTATTATGTTTGAAAGTCAGAGTTACATAGAGAAGGAGAGAGAGAAAGAGAGAGAGAGAGGTCTTCCATTCGCTGGTTCACTCTCAAACTGGATGCAACAGCCAGAGATGTGCTGATCCGAAGCCAGGAGCCAGGGGCTTCTTCCGGGTCTCCCACGCGGGTGCAGGGGCCCAAGGACTTAGGCCATCTTCCACTGCTTTCCTAGGCCACAGCAGAGAGCTGGATCAGAAGTGGAGCAGCTGGGTCTGAAACGGCCCCATATGGGATGTCAGCACTGCAGGTGGCAGCTTTACCTGCTGCACCACAGCGCCGGCCCCTTATTTTTTAAATTTTTTAAATTTTTATTTACTTGAAAGGCAGAGCTACAGAGAGAGAAGGAGAGACAGAGAGATCTTCCAGCCACTGTTTTACTCCCCAAATGGCCACGTCCTCTGTGACTAGTCCAGGCTGAACCAGGAGCCGGGAGCTCCATCTGGGTCTCCCGTGTGGGTGGCAGGAATCCAAGCACTTGGCCATCTTCCTCTGCCTTCCCCGGCATGTTAGCCGGGAGCTGGATCAGAGGCAGAGCAGCTGAGAACCCATTGGTGATCCCATGCAGGACGCCTGCATCCCGGGCAGCAACTTAACCCACTGCACCGCAACACTGACCCCTATAACTTTTAATATTAAAAAAGTTTTAATTGACATAATCATACATGTTTATATGCAATTAGGACAATTCTACACATATATCTATTGTATAATGATCAGATCATGGTGATCGACCTGTCTGTCGTTTCAAATACTTATCATTTCTTTTCAAAATTCTCTCTACTAGTTATTTGAAAACGGTTCTTAGCTACTGTGTTGTGAAACAAGTTCCCACGCAGCCGTGCCCCGTGCCGGTTCGCTGCGGGTGATCTGGACAGTGGAATGGGGCGGGAGCTACGGTGCTCGGCCAGGGGCGCCAAGGCCGAGCCTTCGGGGCTAGCGCAGGAGTTCCCCAGGTGTGGTTAGCAGAAATGCGAATTCTTGGCGGGGAGAGGGCCTCCAGGTGTAACCTGCTTCGGGGCCAGGACCAAGGTGGCCGCTCGCTTCATCTGTGCCCTCAGCCCTCGGGGGTGCGGGCAGGGCATTGTCCTTACTGAAGGGCGAGAAACCAGACTCCGCCTGGAGGGCCTGGTCTCATGGCGCGTAAGGCTTCCGGAACTTTCCATCTGCGTTCCCACGCGTCTGGGCCAGGCTGAGCTTGCTGTGCCTGCCTGGGGAGGTGGGTGGTGCACGCCCGTGACCCTTCTCGCTGGGACTGGGGTGGGCAGAGGGTTTCCACAGGGCCCTCCTGATCCCATGGAGCCTGCAGGGCTGGCGCTGGATGTGGTGGTTCTTGGATGGAGGAGAGACACGGGTGCCGAGACAGGAGCTGTGGGAGCCCCACCCTACCTCCTCCCGCCTGTACCCACAGAATAGCCTTAGGGTCCCAGCACTCAGCTCGCTGGAGCAGGCTTTAGACTGTGCTAGGAATGGAAGTGATTTTGTGCCTGTGTGTGTGTGCTGTGTGCCTGTGTGGTGTGTGCATGTGTGTGTGGTGGGTACATGCATCTGCTGGTGTGTGGTGTGTGCATACATGTGCTGGTGTGTAGTATGTGCACGCATGTGCTGGTGTGTGGTGTGTGCACACATGTGCTGGTGTGTGTGTCCTGCACACATGCGTGTGTCCATGTGTGTGGTCTTAGGAAGCCCCAGACAACACACAGAAGCAAATCCAGCAGGAGAAAGCCTGTGCGCCCACGTCTGGTCCCAGCGCTTATCAAGGTCCAGACGTGCCTGTCTCGTCTGTTCCTGTGTGCGTGTGGATTGCTATGAAGGCACCCAGTCACCCTGGCAGTTCTGCCCCACGTTGGCTAAGGTCCATCTCCAAATACAGCCATTGCCTTACACGGCCACAGGGCCGGGCGGCGTCCACTGAACTGAGAATCCAAGGATGCCTTTGATTATCTGATACTCAACCCACAGCCTTCACTGCTTGTATGAAAACGCCTGGTAGCGGCTGGATCGTATCACAGTGACCGGGAGCCTTTGTTACACGTATTTGTGTACTGGTGAGACAGAGCTCTCGTCACTGGTTCACTCCCCGAACACTGACAGCCAACCTGGCTGGCCAAGGTTGGGAGCGGGGAACTCAACCCAAGTCAGCCACGTGTGCCATCCACACTGCCTCCCAGGGCGCGCACTTGCAGGAAGCTGGAGTTGGGAGCAGAGGCGGGGACCACAGCCTGGGAGTCTGGTTCAGGATGCAGGCGTCCCAACCCGCGTTTCAGCTGCCAGGCCGATGCCCGCCTCTGGGCTGTGCTGGTTTGTTTTTGTTTTTGTTTTTCTTCTACTTGAAAGAATGACAGAGAGAGAGAGAGAGAGAGCGAGCTCTCATATCCAGTTATTCATTCCCTACCCAAATGCTCACTGGAGCCAGGACTGTGCCAGGCTGACCCAGGAGCCCACAACTCCATCCAGGTCTCATCTATGGGTGCCAGGGGCCCTTGAGCACGGTCTGCCGTGTCCAGGGTGCACCAGCAGGGATCTGGACCGGTAGCAGAGCAGCTGGACCTCGGACCAGCACTTCCATGCAGGATGTGGGCCTCACAGCAGTACTTAACCCTCCGTGCCACACGCCCACTCCCCCATCCGTGTTTTGAGCTAATTTAGTGGAATGTTTAGCTTTTCCTCAGCTCCAAAGTGGGAAGGATTAAATGAGAGGATTAATCCTTTGAATTAGGGTCCAGATAAGGTCTATACCAGCCATCCAATAAAAATAGAATGCCAGTCACAAATGCTAGCAACACTTGTAACTTAAATTTTCTAGTGTCCACATTGAAAAAAAGGAAAAAGAAATAAGTGATATTAATTTTAACCTTAGAGATTATAAAACCCAGTGTACTGAGATATCATTTCAGCATGTAACCATTATAAAAATTACTTTTTAAAATATTTACTTAGGCCGGCGCCGCGGCTCACTAGGCTAATCCTCCGCCTGCGGTGCCGGAACCCCAGGTTCTAGTCCTGGTCGGGGCGCCGGATTCTGTCCTGGTTGCCCCTCTTCCAGTCCAGCTCTCTGCTGTGGCCCGGGAAGGCAGTGAAGGATGGCCCAAGTGCTTGGGTCCTGCACCCGTGTGGGAGACCTGGAAGAAGTTGCTGGCCCCTGGCTTCGGATCAGTGCAGCATGCCAGCCGTAGCGCCCATTTGGGGAGTGAACCAATGGAAGGAAGACCTTTCTCTCTGTCTCTCTCTCACTGTCTAACTCTGCCTGTCAAAATAAATCAATTAATTAATTTAAAAAAATTGACTTAGGAGCTGGCATTGTGACCCAGCAGGTTAAGCTACCGCCTGCAGTGCCAGCATCGTCCGAGGCCAGGCTGTCCTCCCCTCCAGCTCCCTGCTAACGCTGCCTGGGGAAGCAGAGGCAGAGCGCTCTTCCACCTGCTGGTCCACGCTCCAGATGGCCACAACGGCTGGGGCTGTTTGGAATTGCATCGGGGCCTCCCACCTGGGTGCAGGGGCCCAAGCACTTGGGCCGCGCTCTGCTCTCCCAGGCACAGCAGCAGGGAGCTGGATCGGCAGCAGAACAGCCAGGATCCCCACGGGCGCTCACGTGGGAGGCCGGAGTCCCAGGCAGTGGCCTCACCCCTGTGCCACGACACTGGCCTGTGGATGTGCGTGTTTTAAGTGGCCGTTTTGCTCTGAAATCTAGGGGAGACCCCTCCCCCACCTCGTGCCATTGGCTCCTTGCAGAAGTGGGGTCCGTTTTGATGGGGTACCCCACGCATGTCCCAGATTTGCCCCTTCTCTCCCCTGCCCTCTCATCCAGCTCCCCTGTGGCTCCACGCTTGTCACAGATGGACCTTTGGAGATGTGACTGGATTGAGGCGGGTCTTTTTGGTTTGTTCATTCAGGGTTTGTGCTGGGGGTAAGAACATGACATAGGTGGTGCCCCTGTCACTTCCTGTAGAGTCACACGAACCAGGAGACCCCGAAGTCTGCTGAGCCTCATCAGTGGGTGCTGGCGATGGCAGCTGACCCCTCCTTAGAAAGCTCCCATCCCCCCTCCACCTTTCAGTCCCTGACTCTGGTCGGAGGTGGAGCACACCCCTCTCATCCCCTGGGGGCCTGTCAGACTCCACAGGTGGTGGCCCCACCCAGGGCGTCTGATTGTGCAGGGCTGGGGCATGCTCCCGGGTATGGCAGGTGCTGCTGGCCAGAGCCACGCGGGAGAGGTTGGTCAGGCCTGCGCGTCCACAGGGGCCTGGCCACACCCACAGGGGAGGGCTGTCGGGGAGCTTGCTCAGCTGCTATTTGTGGCCCTGGCAGGTGCCTCTCCTGTCCGTCATCTCAGATATTGCTTACCCCTGAGTGCCTGGTGCCCATTTTCCAACTAAGCAGATTACACTTGGCGAGGTCCAGTCTGTTGCCTAAGGACACCCAGCAAGTCAGAGGCAGAGGGGCCAGCGCTGTGGTGCAGCCTGCAGTGTCAGCATCCCACATGTGCCCTGGTTCAAGTCCCGACTGCTCCTCTCCGATCCAGCTCCCTGCTGATGTGCCTGGGAAAGCAGAAGAAGATGACCCCTGCACCCCTGTGGGAACCCAGATTGTGGCCATGTGGGGAGTGAAGCAAATAAAAGATGTATTTATTTATTTGAAAGCCAGACTTAGAGAGAGAGATCTTCTATCCGCAGTTTGTTTTACTCCCCAAATGGCTGCAATGGCTGGGGCTGGGCCAGGCTGGACCTAGGAGCCAGGAGCTTCTCCCAGGTCTCCCGCATGGGTGCAGGGGCCCAAGCACTTGAGTCATCTTCCGCTGCTTTCCCAGGTGCATTAGCAGGGAGCTGGATCGAAAGCAGAGCATGGGGCCAGTGTTGTGGCGTAGCAGGTAAAGCCGCCACCTGCAGTGCCAGCATCCCATGTGGGCGCTGGTTCAAGTCCTGGCTGTTCTGATCCAGCTCTCTGCTGTGGCCTGGGAAAGCAGTGGAGGATGGCCCAGGTCCTTGGACCCTGCACCTGTGTGGGAGATCCGGAGGAAGCTCCTGGCTCCTGGCTCCAGAGCTTGCAGCCATTTGTGGTAGCAGATGGAAGACTCTCTCTCTCTCTCTCTCTCTCTGCCTCTGCCTCTCTCTAATTCTGCCTTTCAAATAAATAAACATTAAAAAAAAAAAAAAGAAAAGAAAGAAAGTAGAGCAGCCGGGACTCGAAGCCTGGCCCGTATGGGACGCCCACGTTGCTTGGTGGTGGCAGAGTCCGAGACGGCACCTGGTCTGGCTGGGTTAGGGCTGCTCTGTCCACCTGCAGGGACGCCAGCTGACCCTCTGCCTTCCTCGCAGAGCGTGCTCCTCCTCCACCCGCACTGGATGCCCAGAACCCTCTGGCCGACCTGGACCTCCCGCCGCCGCCGCCCCCTCCTGTGTACCTGCCCCCTCCTCCTGAGGAGGCCCCTGGTCCGCTGGGGGCATCACTCATTTCCGACTTGGAGCAGCTGCACCTGCCCCCACCCCCACCACAGGTACCTCCAGACCCCCGGGGTGGGGGATGGGAGGCTGAGCCTGGAGGTGGTCTGGTCCCTCCTGCTCAATCCCAAGGGACTGCCACGCCCCGCTCTGCTCTATAGACCTCTGCAGCGCCAGGCAGGTCCCGGCCCAGGGCCGCATTCCCTGGCGTGGAAGGCGGAGCTTTGACTGCTTGACCTCAGCTGCCACTGTCCCCTGCCTGCTGAGTGACTTGCTTCTGGGGCCTCAGTTACCTGCTGTTCAATGGGAATGATTGTGTCCAGTGCCCCCAGAGGAGGCAGAGCCTGGAAGGGCTGTGTGGGGTCCCTGCTGACACCACTCTGCGTCCTCACAGGCTCTGGTGGAGGGACCCCCGGTCCAAACTCGGCCTGGTCAGCTCAGGCCCTCGGAAGAGGAGCTGCCACCTCCCCCGGAAGAACCTGCTGGGCTCCCTGAGAGAGAGACGTCCACAGGTAAGGGCCCAGGGCCGGCAGGATTCCGGGGTGGTCCCCAGGGGCCCTCGTGGGAACTGGGAGGGCAGAGACCCCCTGCCTGGCCCAGCTCACGTCTTAGGCTGGGCGTTTGAGTTGTGCACCCATTGCGTTTTTGTTGCCAGAACCTTCTTCCCTTTATGACTAAAATCCACTTAAGTATTCCTCTGCGCTTTGCTGTGATGGCAGAAATGCCTTGAATTTTTTCCCACGACTTGTTCACGTCCTAGTGGCCTCGCACAATGCGAACTGCAAAGCCTGTCACCCAGCGTCCCCCGGGGCCACCTCTGTTAATGTCTTGGGCATCCAGAGTTCTGTCTGCATCAGCAAATACCACCGTGTGTACCTGCGTGCCCTCCCCTGCTGTGGAGAGAGCCTGCTTCAACATGCTTGAGACCGGAAGTGTTTTGCATTTGGGATCGGAGGGAGATTTGGGAATACTTGCGTGTGCATGCTGAGCTGTCTTGGGATGGGACCCAAGTCCCAACACGGGATTCAGTCAGTGTGTTCGGTGCACCTGCCCTGGGATGAGGCTTCAGCCCCGTGCTCGGCGTTCTGGGTTTTGGATCGGTTGAGATGTCTTTGATTGGAGATGCTCTGGGCGCGAGCTGGCCTGCTTCCTCGGGCGGCACAGCGCAGTGGAAGTGGCCGAGTGGCCGCCGCCCCTTCTCTCCGGCTGCGGCGAGCTCCTCCCCAGGGACGGATACTGCGGTGGCCTCCTGGTGTCACAGGTCGCCTTGCTCTCCTGTCATTGTGCCCACGTGCGGATGTATGGGAAATGATTTGCTGAGACAGGAAAGGGCAGGTGCATTTGTGAGTTTGGTGTTGTTAGCCGACTGCCCTCATGAGCCATCTGGGCCTGAACTCGCTCCTGCCCCTGTCTCCCCCTCCCCCGGACCCCCCCCCCCCAGCCTCTGCAGAGCCTGCCTTGCTTGGGGGGGGTGCCAGTAAGGAGGACTCCGTGAGCCCTGGGCCAGCTCAGGAGACCGAGTCTTCCCCTCAGCTGCGTTGCCAACACTCTCCTGAGTTGGTCACTTGTGTGATGGCTTTCGTCGTCCGTAGACGCCCGATTTTGGCGTAGCCGACCATGGCAGGCCTTCCTCTGCCGGTGTCCGGCTTGTGTGTCATAGTTAGGCTTGCCCTCCTCCCGAGTCACAGCCGGATTCTCCGTGGTTGTATTCGTCCCCCCTAGACCTCGGGTGAGTTTAGAATTTCCGGGTGGGGGTGTCGCCGCGGAGCCCGCCCTCCATTCCAGTGCAGGTGACGGCCACTTGTCCTGCCGCTGCGTCCTGCTGTCCCGACGTCAGCCTTCCAAAGGCCGTTTCCTTTCTAATTCTCCTTGTGACCCTCTGCGTTCATCACATGAGCACCTCCTGGGGGCTCGAGGCCAAGCCCTGGGCACTGCGGGCGTGTCTGGTACCAGCCCGTGTCTCCTGTACCCCAGACATCTGCGCCTTCTGCCACAAGACCGTGTCCCCCCGCGAGCTGGCCGTGGAGGCCATGAAGAGGCAGTACCATGCCCAGTGCTTCACGTGCCGCACCTGCCGCCGCCAGCTGGCCGGCCAGAGCTTCTACCAGCAGGACGGGCGGCCCCTCTGCGAGGCCTGCTACCAGGTAACCCTACAGCTGCCCCCTGGCACCGGGACCTGCACTGGGCACACGAAGATGCTCTGTTGTTTCATTCCTGGGGGGCGGGGCGGGGAGGCAGTGTTGGCCCATTTCACAGAAGAGGGAGTTGGGAGCATGGCCAAGTTCCCTGTGGCTGCTGTAGCAAATTGGCCCTTGGTGACTGCGACAGCTCGCATCAATTTTCTCAAGTTCTGGAAACTACAAGTCAAGAGCAAGGTGTTAGGCCAGTGCCGCGGTTCACTAGGCTAATTCTCCGCCTGCGGCGCCAGCACCCCGGGTTCTAGTCCTGGTTAGGGCGCCAGGTTCTGTCCAGGTTGCCCCTCTTCCAGGCCAGCTCTCTGCTGTGGCCCAGGAGTGCAGTGGAGGATGGCCCAAGTCCTTGGGCCCTGCACCCCATGGGAGACCAGGAGAAGCACCTGGCTCCTGGCTTCAGATCGGCGCAGTGCGCCAGCCGTAGCGGCCACATGGAGGGTGAACCAATGGAGAAAAGGAAGACCTTTCTCTCTGTCTCTCTCACTGTCTAACTCTGCCTGTCCAAAAAATAAAAAAATAAAAAATAAATAAAAATTAAAAAAAAAGAGCAAGGTGTTGCCCGTCCCTCTGAGTCCAGTCCCCTGGCTGCTCTTTCTGAAGCCCTGTTGCTGGGTGCTTCCTGTAGCTTCAAAGCCAGCAGAGAGCATGTTGCCCTCTGCCTCCCCCCAGCGTTAATGAATGAATGAATATCTGAAAGAGAGAGAGAGAGAACGGAGCATGAGGGAGGCCCCAGATGCCTGAAACAGCCGAGGTTAGGCTGGGACGGAGCCAAGAGCCCAGACGTCACTCATGTGGATGGCAGGGAGCCAAGCTGTTGAGCCGTCACGTGGTGCCTCCCAGAGTGTGAATCAGCAGGGAGTTGGATCAGAAAGGGAGCTGAGACGCAACCCCGGGGTCTCCGATGTGGGGTGCAGGTGTCCCAGGCAGCAGCTTAAGTGCCACGCCCAGTCCCCGCCCTCTGCCGCCCTCTGATGGGGGCTTTTGCAATTGCATTTAGGACCCACTGGTGCTACAGGATGGGCTCCCTGCCTTGAGATCTTCCATTTAATCATCTTGCAAAGTCGCTTTGCTGCACCAGGCGCCATTCACAGGCTGCAGAGTGGACTTGGGTGTCCTTAGGGGCCTCACTCAGCTACGAGGCAAGGGGCTGGGCTTCTGCCCGGACCCAGGTGGTCCTCGACCCTGCCTTCGGTGCCGCTTCTGAGTATGGAACGCAGCCACAAGAACTGGCTTCGTTGCCGCCTGTTGGCGTTCCGGACTCTGGGTGGTGTGTGGTAGTGCCCAGCCCCTGCGTGCCCGTGGGCCTCACCCGGCCCGGGACTCTGATGCGCCCCGGGGTTTGAAAGCTGCCCGTCTGAGGGTTCAGAGTATTTGGAGTTGGGACCTTGCAGAAGACTCAGAATGAGCTCATCACAGCCTCCAGGCACTGTGGGGGGAGGGAGCCAGGCCCCAGGAACATGACCGCGGGAGCCAGGCAGCGGTGAGGGACTGCCAGGCAGGGGGTTTGAGCAGCGTGCCTGGGAGGGAAAGGTTGCCCCCGATGGGGGGTGGGGGTGCTGCCCTCTCTCCAGCAGGTGTCAGGTGTCGGGTCGCAGTGGTCAGTGCACAGCAGGACTGGGAAGAGGCATGACCAGGAGAGTAGGTGCAGGGGGTGGAGGGAGGCCGTGTGCTCGCCTCCGTAACCTCATTCTCCCTCTCTCTTTAAATCCTTCTCATTCCCGAAGGGATTTGAGGCAGCTTATCTAAGAACTCAGAGGGAGCTTGGGACACCACGTCCCCTGTTGGAGTGCCCGGTTCAAGTCCCGTCTCCGCTGCTTCCAGGGCAGCTGCCTGCTAACACCACCCTGGGAGGCAGCACCTGATGGCGGAGGGAGCTGGGCCCTGCCACCCACACGGCAGACTGGAATGGAGTTCTGTCTCTTCCCTTTCTCAGAGAGATCGTCCATCTGCTGGTTCTCTCCCCAAAAGGCCACAAGAGCCAGGGCTGGGTCAGGCAAAGCCAAGAGCCAGGAGCTGCACCCGGGGCTCCCACATGGGTGCAAGGGCCTGAGTACTTGGGCCGCCTCCTACTGCTTTCCCGGATGCATTAGTAAGGAGCTGGATCGGAAGTGGAGCAGCCGGGACGCCATCCAATGCCATAGCCCCAGCTCCTGAGAGACTTTTTTTTTTTGACAGGCAGAGTTAGTGAGAGAGAGAGACAGAGAGAAAGGTCTTCCTTTTGCCGTTGGTTCACCCTCCAATGGCCACCGCAGCCGGCACACCGTGCTAATCCGAAGGCAGGAGCCAGGTGCTTCTCCTGGTCTCCCATGGGGTGCAGGGCCCAAGCACCTGGGCCATCCTCCACTGCACTCCCTGGCCACAGCAGAGAGCTGGCCTGGAAGAGGGGCAACCGGGACAGAATCTGGCGCCCCGACTGGGACTAGAACCCGGTGTGCCGGCGCCGCAAGGCGGAGGATTAGCCTGTTTTGCTGCAACGCTGGCCCTGAAAGACTTTTTAAAAGGGGAACCTAGGCCGGTGCCGCGGCTCACTAGGCTAATCCTCCGCCTTGCAGCGCCGGCACTCCAGGTTCTAGTCCCGGTCGGGGCGCCGGATTCTGTCCCAGTTGCCCCTCTTCCAGGCCAGCTCTCTGCTGTGGCCCTGGAGTGCAGTGGAGGATGGCCCAAGTGCTTGGGCCCTGCACCCCATGGGAGACCAGGAGAAGCACCTGGCTCCTGCCATTGGATCAGCGCAGTGTGCTGGCCGCAGCGTGCCGGCCACGGTGGCCATTGGAGGGTAAACCAACGGCAAAGGAAGACCTTTCAAAAAAAAAAAAAGGACCCTGTAGTCAACAATAATAAGGATGTGTTGAGAGACTCATTAAGTGTTCTCACCATGACAAAATAGCATTTAAAACAGAGCGTGTAGTACTGTGGGGTATAGAACAGATCCAAACAGAAGGGCAGCCACGGCAGAAAGTGAGATGAGACCAGAGAGGGAGTCAGCACCCAAGAATGTGTGATGGAAGACCCCTGTCGTGGTTCCTACAGCAGAGCATGGAATTTGGCCTGAGCTTCCAACCAGTCAGGTGGGAAAGGGAGAGAATCTCAAGGTTACTCTAAGAAGCGGACGTTGGTTTCCGTGGGATCCCTTTCCTGGCTGTCCAGGAGCGCCGGCCCAGCCTGGCCTGGGCGTCCCAGTGCCCGAGACGGCTTCGTGGCAGTGGGCCTGGCTGTAAGCCATGAGGGACACTGCGCCAGGCCCCACGCATTATCCAAGGTGGAGGATCTGGGGCTGCGTGTTCCGGGCCGGCCACTTGCCTCTCCTGGGCCCCCATGGGCAGCAGCCTGAAGACCCTTGTGTTGGGGCGGGGATGCTCAGGGGACGGCTCTGAGGCAGCGGCCCCCTGCCACAGGACACCCTGGAGAAGTGTGGCAAGTGTGGAGAGGTGGTCCGGGACCACATCATCAGGGCCCTGGGCCAGGCCTTCCACCCCACCTGCTTCACGTGCGTGGCCTGTGCCCGGTGCATCGGGGACGAGAGCTTCGCCCTGGACAGCCAGAACGAGGTGTACTGCCTGGATGACTTCTACAGGTACGCGAGGGGTCCCTGCACTGGGCAGAGGGGGAGGACAGGGTGGGCCGGGGCAGAGCCGGCCGCAGTCTCTGATCTTGCTGTCTGTGCGCCTGACACTTCACTCTTCACGTGGTTGTACCGACACCGCGCCAGGCTCTGCTCTGGGGTTATGCCATCTGGCCCTCAAAGCTGTGCTGTCTTGGGGGATGCTAGGGAGGTTCCAGTTTACCAAGTGCGGGAACCAGGCGACAGCAGCGAAGGACCTCAGGTTCTCCGGGCTGTAGGTATTAAAGCTGTGCCCAGCCCCGAACCACCACGTGACTACAATTGGAGACAAGCGAGGTGGCTCCCGGGCCCACTGAGCTGCAAGTGCGGGCGCTGCCAGGCGTTTGCTGATTGCACCCTGGGCAGCCAGGTCTGATCACACAGCCCCCTCCCCATGCCTGCGGTTGGAGCCGCAGCCGCGGCCGCAGAGCACGGCTGGGAGGTGCTCTGGAGCCAGCCTTGCCCTGGCCGCCCACTTCTGCGGTCGCTGGCGCGAACCCCTCCCCAGCGCCTGGTCCTCTGCCCCTAGGAAATTTGCTCCGGTGTGCAGCATCTGTGAGAATCCCATCATCCCCCGGGACGGCAAGGACGGCTTCAAGATCGAGTGCATGGGGAGAAACTTCCACGAGAACTGCTACCGGTGCGAGGTGAGTGGAGCCCGTGCCGGCACCTGGGCGGGCTGAGGCTCAGAGCCACGTCCACCTGGGGCGCTACTGTCATGTTGTCCGGTGGCAGGGACAGATAAGAAGGGAAATAATGACAATGGCAGTCTCCTAATCAGAGTTCTTTGATCGATGATAGAAACCAAGAACCCCTTGGCCTTGGTGATGACTGTCGCTCCCCCTCTTCGTGGAGGAGCGACACTAAACCCTGCCTGGGCTTCATATCCGAGTCACGGCACCATTATGTCGCTCCCCCTCTTCGTGGAGGAACGACACAGGACCCTGCGCTGTTCTTTCGTCTGCTCGGCCCTCCCCGGGTTTGCTGCTGGTTCTTCCCGGGTTGGCTACCGTCCCTTCCACCTCCGTGGAAGGGCGGTTCCCCCTGGCCACTTTCCCCACTTCCGCGGGGGAGCGGCACACCGCCGGCCGGCTCTCTCGGGGGCTGCACAGGTGTTCCCCTTAGATGTTCCCCTTAGATGTTCCCTTTAGATGTTCCTGGTGCATGCCGTCTCTCTCCTCCTTTATAGTCCTCCTCTACCAATCCCAACTCGGCTGCCCACACGCCGAGTACGCTGCTCTCCTCCAATCAGGAGCAAGTCCTACAGCTTATTGGCTGAACTGGAGGCAGCTGTGCAGAAGCTGTTTTCTTCTCTCCCAGCGCCATATTGTGGGAGAGCAGATGCATAGAATAAGTCTTAATTCCAGTAACTCAGTCCAGTCCGGGTTGCTCCCCACAGATGACATCAGATGGTAGCACCAGTGCATTCTCTCTCTCGCTTAGTTCTGCCTTAAAGAAAAAAAAAAAAAAGATTTATTTCTTTGAAAGAGTTACAGAGAGGGAGAGACAGAGGTCTTCCATTCCTGGTTCACTCCACAAATGGCCACAGCAACCACAGCTGCACCGGGCTGAAGCCAGGGGCCAGGAGCTCCATCCACGTCTCCCACATGGGTGCCAGGGGCCCAAGGACTTGGGCCACCCTCCACAGCTGTCCAGGGCACATTAGCCAGGAGCCAGATAGGAAAAGGAGCGGCTGGGACTCCAACCGGCGCTCGTGTGGCACGCCGGCGACAGGCAGCGGCTTAACCTGCTGTACCTTGACATTGGCCCTGTGCCTTTTTATTTTTCAAAATGCATTTTTTAAAAGTTTTAGTTTATCTGTATTTATTTGAAAGCTAGAAACACACGCAGAGAGAGATCTTCCATTTGCTGGGTTTTATCTGGCAAGCAGAGAGATAGAGAAAGAGAAACAAACAGATGGACTTTGCACCTGTTCACTCCCCAAACACCCGCGACAGCAGGGTTGGGCCAGGCCAAAGTCAGGAGCCAGAAGTCACTCCGGGTCTCCCACAGGGTGGCAGGGACTCACGTTCTCGGACCTGCCGCCTGTCGGAGTGCGCGCTGACGGGAAGCTGGAATTGGACGCATAGCTGGGTACTCTGATACGGGGTGCAGCATCCTAATGGGGCGTCTTAACCACAAGTCGCACGTCTGCCCAGTTCTGCCTTTGTGATTGCTGCCCTTCTCTGGGGGGCGGGGACACCGTGCATGGATGCAAATGCTACTGGTGACATCCCCCCACCTTAGAACATAACCCGTGGAGGGCTATGATTGGAGGCCTGAGACGGCCTTCTGATTGGCCCAGCGTGGTTCATGTGTCCACTCTGGACCAATCACTGTGGCTCTGGGGTATGAGATTGACGGCTGTACGATACAGAGAGGGGTTGCCACCACCACAGGAAGAGACCCCCTCACAGGTGCCCCGCCCAGGTGAGTGGGCTTTGGGGCAGACAAGGCAGGCCTAAGTCTAACCAGTGAGGTAAAGGCCCCTTGTAGAGGAAACAACGCTGAACCTGGGTCTTGCAGGATGCGTCAGCGTTTGCCAGATTTTCAGGGAGGGGAAGAAACCCAGGAAGTGGGAGGGGCCTGTGAAAATCCCACTGCCGGGCGAGCAAGGGCTGGAGGGTGTGCTCATCGCGTGGCCGCAGAGAAGGAAGGGGGGAGGGGCCGGCCAGCGCAGCGTCCCCCCAGGAGTCGGCACACAGAGCCCTGATCGCGGGCCTCGGGACTGCGTGAAGATCGCCCAGACAGACGAGGAGCCCTCCTCCACCGTGCACCCCCAGATGCCTGCTACGGGGGGGACTGGGCTGGGCCAGAGCCAGGAGCCGGGCGTGCAGTTTCTTGAACCATCACTTGCTGCCTCCAGGGTGGGCATCAGCACAAGTTGGGATCAGAAGCAGACTGGGACTCGGAACTCAGGCGCTGTGATACGGGACGCGGGACCCCAGTGGTGTCTGGCCTGGCGCCCAGAGCCCGCCCGGCCACCCCTGCGGTCTTCATCCTGCGCCTGGGCCCTGCAGTGAGGCGGTCAGACCTGCTGGGGAGGCTCCCCAGCCCCGGGCCACCCCGTGTCACTTCCTGTAGTCGCTGTGACAGAGGTGACAGCGTTTACGCGTGTCACCAGAGCAAGGAGTCCCTGAGTAGGTCTCATTCAGCCCACGGGTGCTTCTCCCCTAAGCCACGTGCGTGTAAGCAGATTCACGGAACCAAGGGCTTGTGCTGACGGTGTGCAGGGAGCCGGCAGAGCAGCTGACAAACCACCTCACGTCGGCTCAAGTTCAAGGTCCGCCTGATAACGCGTCTTCAAAGATCAGAGACGAAATTCCAGTGCTTATCACCACCCGGCCCTAATGAGCTCTGCAGCGATTGGCTGCCCCTGGCCTGGCTCAGGAGCCAGTAACCCCTCTCTCCTTGGCGCCTCTCCCCGCCCTGGCTGCCGATGGCTTTGACCGAGGCTGCTGCCGTCAGAATTTGTACTGTAGCAGTTACACTTTGGAGCTGAGGCCCCTGAACCCAGTGGCCTGGGAAAAGTGGCATTTCAGGTTTTTAAAGGCAAGCAGAGTGATGGAGAGAGGAGAGACAGAGACAGAGAGAAAGGTCTTTTATCTGCTGGTTCACTCCCCAAATGGCCACAACATCTGGGGCTGGGCCAGGCTGAAGCCAGGAGCCTCAAACTCCATCCGGGTCTCTCACATGGGTGGCAGGGTCCAAGCACTAGGGCCGTCCTCCATGCTTTCCCAGGTGCATTAGCAGGGAGCTGGATCAGAAGTGGAGCAGCCGGGACTCTGGTATGGGATGCCAGTGTCACAAGCAGGGGCTTACCCCCCTGTGCCATGAGGCCAGCCCCTAAAATTTCAGGTTTCCCAATGAGGGATGCTCAGCCTGGACATTGTTGAAATGGGAAACGGTGCTTATTAAAAAAACCTCCTTCCTTAATTCTGGTGACATTCTTGGGAAACAGGATTAGTTGTCCCCACTTAAGATGGGGCAACAGGAGCCAGCGCTGTGGCGTAGCAAGTAAAAACCTCTGCCCACCGGCAGTGCCCGCATCCCATATGAGCGCCAGTTCTAGTCCCGGCTGCTCCACTTCCAATCCAGCTCTCTGCTATGGCCTGGGAAAGCAGTAGAAGATGGCCCAAGTCCTTGGGCCCCTGCACCTGCGTGGGAGACCTGGAAGAAGCTCCTGGCTCCTGGCTTTGGATTGGCCCAGCTCCGGCCGTTGCAGCCATTTGGGGAATGAACCAGCGGATGGAAGACCTCTGTCTATCTCTGTTTCTGCCTCTCTGTAACTCTGCCTTTCAAATAAGTACTAAATAAATCTTCCAAAAAAATATTGGGGGGAACAGGCTCAGAAGAGTGGTTCTAACCCCTGGGTGCCTGGCCCCGGCCCAGCCAGCTTCTTCCCACCCCACAAGAGCTTTGTGACGGTCACAGTTGCTGAGTTCTCCCCACTGGGTTCTGACAATAGGAGAGGCCCCGAGTGCCCTTAGGTTTCTTACATCCTCCAAGTAGCCCCAAGTCCACCTGAGCGATCTAGAGTGGAGTAGCACAGAAGAGCCACACGAGGGCGCCCTACCCAGGCTGGGCCTGGAGGAACACTGGTAGCAGTCCCTGGCCTGAGGCAAGGTGGCCACCTGTAAACCCAAAACTGTCTCTCTGGGCTCACAGTCCCTGTGATCGGGTCCATGCAGCTTCCCAAAAGGTGGCAGCTGGGCCTGAGCCAGGTCTCTGGGCATGAATTGTGCCCGATTGCAGGCTGGCTGGGGGGGGACCCTGGTACAGGCCTGGGGAAAACACGATGAGGTCGGTAAAGTGTGGGCCCTGAATTCCCACGCTCGACGTCCTGAAATCCTCTGGCGACTGAGAGATTTGGGAATAATAACCGTCTTGCCTGCGCTGAAGCTGCGTGGGCCGTGGAGCGACACGAGGACCCCGGCTTGCCTGGAGCCTCCCAGTCCCAGGTTTGGAAGCAGCAGCTCAGTTTCCCCACCTGGGAAGGAAGGGCCTGGACTGGACTCAGTGGTCAGCGGCCGTTCCTTGCAGGCCGGTGCGTGCTGCTGGCCTTGGCTGGGAAGCTGGCAGTGAGGGGGTTCAGGGCTCACGGGACCCACCTTCTGATGGGCTGCTGGGGCATCGGGGGCTTCCTCCAAGTGTCCTCCGGCCCCCGTAGCAGCTCGGCCGTCATCACTCCTGTCCCGGCCCCTGCGTCTGTGTGGTCTTCATTCATGGAGCCCCCAGGGTGGGGGCCATGTCCCCTCCACCCCCACCCCTGCTTTGGCAGGGCGCTCACGTGGTTGGTGTATTGGGCAGCTGCCGAGCGGGCCATGCCGGCAGTGCCGGGCCGGGGCTCACCGTGCCTGTCTCCGTCTCCCCAGGACTGCAGCGTCCTCCTGTCGGTGGAGCCCACGGACCAGGGCTGCTACCCCCTCAACGACCGCCTCTTCTGCAAGCCGTGCCACGTGAAACGCAGTGCCGCGGGCTGCTGCTGAGGACGCCCGGCCACGCCCGGCTGCGCGCGCACCTGCTCGCCCACACTTCCCTCCTGAGCCTCGTTGGGGACCGGCCTGCGGCTCTGCCCACTGCGTCCCGGACACAGGCCTGGCCTCCTCCCAGCACCCCCAGACTTCCAGAAGGCTCCTGCGCCGTGAGCGTCACTTCGGGGGTCCCCGTCTGGCCCCTCGGTCCGCTGCTGGGGACGGTTGGGGTGCGGCTCTGTGTGGACGCCTGTGCTGGGGCCAGGTCTGGTGCAGGGCCGCGCTGTTTGAGGCAGCACTCCGAGGTCCAGCTTTGGGGAGATGCTGAGGTTTCCGGGGTGGGAAACCACGTGCTCGCCGTCTGAGGGAGAGAAGTCTGCACGGCCAGTGTCTCCCCTTGGCTCATAAAGGTACAAGAGGGTGACTCGCGGTGGCACAGCCCTGGACTTGCCAGGCCAGGCAGAGTGGTCCGTGGCCACACGGGGCCCTCAGCAGCCCCTCCGTCTGCCCCCGTGCACTACCAGGAGCCGTCCACAGTTGTGGATTGGGGAGCAGGGCAGGGACTGTGGCCGTGCACACCCCTCTCTGCCCCCTACTCCTGCACAGCGGTGCCCCCAAGTCCCCACAGCCCTGGCCACCCTGCGCCCACCGCTCGAACGAGGCCACGCCCACAAGATCTTTCTTCCTCTTTAATTCCCAGGCGTGTAGTAGGGCTGCACGATTTAGACCATGTGCTTTCCTCTCTGCACGCCTCTGGAAGGGGGTGCAGCCTCCCAGGAGACCCCATAGCCGCCTGCGCTGAGCCCCACGGGGGCTTCCCACATGAGCAAGGCCTCAGCTGGGAGCAGCCAGGCCCAAACAGCTGCGTTCACCTGCGTTCACCTGTGTTCACGTGCCGCCTCCCAGTTTTTAGCCTATGGATGACCTCTGACTCTTTTTTTTTTTTTACTCACTTCCAGTGTTAGCCTCGAGCTAAGTGATGTATCCACGCAGTGCTACGGTCCTGTGTGACCAGTGTTTGTTCCTCTTCCACGTACAAATAAAAGTGCACCTGTTAGCAGCTCCCCCGTGGAAGGTCTCCCGCAGGGACTTGCCGGCCTTCGGCTGCAGCTCTAGGGAAATCTGTGCTGGGCCTCGGCTTGCGGCGGCATGAGGGTGGGGCAGGGGCCCGCCCCGCTCCCCTCAGGGTGCTGGGCACAGCTTGGCAGGCCAAGGAACTCGGGTCTTCCCCGTAGGCCCCGCCGAAGACCTGCACCTGCGCCTCACCGGTGCGCGGCTGCACGCGGCAGCCTAGGGGTCGGCAGCGGAGCCTTCGCTGCAGGGAGCCCTGTCCAGGCACAGCCAGGCCCACTGCTGACCGCCGCTCGCATGTGAGCACAGCCCAGGGAGGTGTGCGTGGTGGGAAAGAGCCTGGACGCTGACCTGCACGCATTGTTAACGCTCTGCGCCCGATGTCACACAGTGTACGGGAGGGCACAGCCCAGCCTCTGCCCTGCAGGGCTGCTGCGAGAGGAAGAAGCTGGAGGCTGGCTCCATCCTCTGCCCGCGGCCTCGGGCGATCACGGTGGTGCGCCTGCGTCAGACCGCGGCTACAGGTGATGCTGTGTGTTCTGCAGCTACACACACACAGCGCCCAGGATGCCTGAGAAAGCAGGGCCCAGGAAGGACCTAGGCTCTGGGCTCCTGGGGAGGGGTCTTGGGGGCTGGGAGCCGGTGTCCACGTGTGCCATCGGGGAGCCTAGGCAGCTGGTGCCCTTAGATCTAAGCTGCAGAGCCCCGGCCGGAAGTGGCGGCGGGGGAGACGGGAACACGGTCATTTTTGCCATGGGCGCACAGGCAGGAGGCTCAGGGTGTGTCTGCGGAGGGGACTCACTTCCTTGTGGCACGGTGACTGCAGTGAGTGAGCCCCGAGGTTGGAGCGCACCACAGCCCAGCTGGGAAGACTGGGCCAGGTGCCCACTCTCTGCGGCCATTTGCCTCTCTTCCGTCACCAAGATTCTCCCGTCACTGAAGTGCCACCTTGTGTCCCAGCCCGTGTGTGGTTGGTTGCGTTTGGAGGGGTTTACCTGGGTGAGCTCCTAGGGGGTGCTCGACAGGTGTGTAGGTGGCTCTGTGGGGAACACGCCTGGGAGACACACATCTGTGCTTCCTCCCTCCCTCCCCAGTCTCATCCCCACTTCTCCTCTTATTGTCCAGGCCAGTGCCGCAGCTCACTAGGCTAATCCTCCGCCTGTGGCGCCGGCACACCGGATTCTAGTCCCAGTCGGGGCGCCGGATTCTGTCCCGGTTACCCCTCTTCCAGGCCAGCTCTCTGCTGTGGCCCGGGAGTGCAGTGGAGGATGGCCCAGTGCTTGGGCCCTGCACCCCATGGGAGACCAGGAGAAGCACCTGGCTGCTGCCATCAGATCAGCGCAGCGCGCCGGCCACGGTGGCCATTGGAGGGTGAACCAACGGCAAAGGAAGACCTTTCTCTCTGTCTTTCTCTCGCACTGTCCACTCAGCCGGTCAAAAAATAAATAAAAAAATATCGTGCAGTCTCAGAGAGAGAAGGTGGACACCCAGGTTCCTAAGAGCATCACGGGCAGGAACTCCACTGCGCATCCGCAGATGAATGGGTGGGTGCAACGTGGGGTCCACGCGATGGACTGTCACTTGGCCTTGAGAAGGCTGCGAGGCCGTGGCTGAACCTTGTGGACGTGATGCTGAGCGAAATAAGCAAGAGGGTGAATACCTCGAGGCGTCACATTGTAGGGACAGCCAGTGGAAGAGTGGTCCCACGAGCCAGGTGCAGGTCAGAGCAGGGCTGATGAATGGGGATGGAGCTGAGTCCTGGAGATGGAATGATGACGGCCACACGACAGCGTCAGTGTCCTGGGGCCGGCGCTGGGATGCTGGATTAAGCGGCCACCTGCAACGCTGGCATCCCCTATGAGCTCCAAGTTTGAGTCCCGGCTGCTCCCCTTCTGATGTAGCTCCCAGCTAATGCATCTGGGAAAGCAGCAGAAAATGGCCCAACTCCTGGGCTGTTGCACCCATGTGGGAAACCTGGATGGATCTCCTGGCTCCTGGCTTCAGCCTGGCCCAGCCCCAGCCATTGCAGCCACTGGGGGAGTGAACCAGCGGATGGACGATCTCTCTCCATCTCTCCTCCTCTCTCTGTAACCCTGCCTTTCAAATAAACAATGGAATTAAAATATAAGTTTTTTAAATTTATTTTTTATTATTTTGTTTCATTTCATTTGCAAGATAAATAGACACAGAGAGATCGTCTCCATCCTTCGGTTTCCTTTCCAGCTGCCGGAACAGCCAGGGCTGGGTCAAGCCGAAGCACGGAGTCTGGAACTGCCCCTGGGTCTCCCGGCTGCCTGAGCCATGATCTGCTGCCTCCCAGGGTGTACATAAGGAGGAAGCTGGGATCAGGAGTGGAGTCTTGACTCTGCCCCAGAGATGTGTGTCTCACGTCTCGCAAGCAGCAATTTAACTGCTGTACCAACTCTTATTCTGGTGCAAAAAAAAGTTTTTGAAATCCACACCTTCAAGGAATCTTGAGTTCATGGAAAATGCACTTGATGAAAAACCCTGTTGGCCAAGTTGAGACCTGCTGCTGTGAATGCCCCCACAGCCACTAGAGGGCGACATGGGTCCAAGAACCGGGAGTCCAGGCCTCTCGCTGGGTCCTCCCTTTCTCCAAATGCACAAAGGAAATGGTCCTCCCTCCTGCCCGCCGCCCGCGGCCACAGTGAGGCTGAGGACAGCTAGAAGCTGAGCGGTGTGGCTGGGAAACTGACACAGCCGCCCCGGAGGGAGACCCGTGTCGTGGGCCCGACGCCCGCCCTAGGAGAGGCCCACCTGGAAGTCCTGGCGCTGCTACCTGGGGACAGAGGCTCCTGGGGCTCAGCCTGGGGTAGCTGAGCCTTTCCACTGGTCACCCCGTCCCCGGGGGTCCCCCTTCCCTGCGGCCACACCCAGGTGCCTGGACGAGAGGCTCTGCCCAGCATTGCCAGCGCCTCTGGGGCCACCAGATGCTGCTCCCTACCCTGCAAAAGGTGGAATCCAGGAGCTAACGGAGCGGAGGGGATGTCAGTGGGGATCTGTGAAGTAGGTAATGTTAACATCCCCAGTTCAAAGACCAGGAAACTGCACATCCTCCACTACAGACCCACATCAGAAACACCCACATTCTAGAAGGTTCTAAAACCCGCCATGTGACACAGATGCCAAAACCCGACTGGAAAAACCTTTCCTGTGTTCAGCTCTTCCTCCTGAGTGGCTGGGCTTAGACTGAGGCCTCTCGCTTGCAATTCATTGTGAAAGGACCCTGAACCCTGCGGCTGAATCATCTTCCTGCTCAGAGTGCTCGTCAGAGACCACGGGGCACACCCTGCCCGTGACCTTCCCTCTGCAGAAAACAACGTGCCTGTGTCAGCAGAAAACTATGCGCTGTCTGCACACACACGGCCTCCCGGGCTGGGTTCAGGCTTTCCTGGTCTTGGCACCATTGCACAGCCTGGAAATGCATGGAGATGGTCAGTTGTCCCCCCTCACCCCCATGTTGCAGAGGCAGCTTTGCCTCCTCTTGTACGTTGGTTCAACATCCCTGACCTACGAAAGCCATTGCCCCAGGATGCCCTCTTCTGCTGGCTGTAAGGTCCCCTGGCTTCCTTGTGAATGACATGAAATGCTTGACAAATATTCATTTTATATCTGTCCAGAACTCACGATCGTACCTTCTTTTTGAAGATTATCTTTTTAGCACTTCCTTCACCAGGTGTTGATGGGCAGCTGCTTTCAGACAGGAGAGGTGCTGGGGGCCCTCACAGTAGGCATCCTATTAAACAGTTAATGGCTTCGCTGTGGCTCACTAGGCTAATCCTCCGCCTTGCGGCGCCAGCACACCGGGTTCTAGTCCCGGTCGGGGCGCCGGATTCTGTCCCGGTTGCCCCTCTTCCAGGCCAGCTCTCTGCTGTGGCCAGGGAGTGCAGTGGAGGATGGCCCAAGTGCTTGGGCCCTGCACCCGCATGGGAGACCAGGATAAGCACCTGGCTCCTGGCTTCGGATCAGCACAGTGCGCTGGCCGCAGCAGCCATTGGAGGGTGAACCAATGGCCAAAGGAAGACCTTTCTCTCTGTCTGTCTCTCTCTCTCACTGTCCACTCTGCCTGTCAAAAAAAAAAAAAAAAAAGTTAAGAGCAGCAGACGGGAGCTGACCTTGTGGCACACTGGGTTAAGCTGCTGCTTGCAACAGCGACATCCCATACCTGAGTGCCAACTCCAGCCCCAGCAGCTCTACTTCTGATCCAGTTTCCTGCTAATGCCCTAGGAAGGCAGAGGAGGATGGCCCAGGAACTTGGGTCCCTGTCACCCAGGTGGGAGACCCAAATGGAATTCCTGGCTCCTGGCTTTGGCCTGGCCCGGACCTGGCTGTCATTGGCCGTTTGGGAAGTGAACCAAAACCAACAGATGGAAGAATTCTGTCTCTCTACCTTTCAAATCTTTTTAAAGATTTATTTTATTTGTGTAAAAGTCAGAGAGAGAGAGAGGTCTTCCATCTGCTGCTTCACTTCCCCAAATGACCATGACAGCCAGGGCTGGGTCAGGCTGAAGCCAGGAGTCAGGGGCTTCATCCAGGTCTTCTACAAGGATGCAAGGGACCAAGGACCTGGGCCATCCTCCACTGCTTTCCCAGGCCACAGCAGAGAGCTGGATCAGGAGTGGAGCAGCCAAGGCATGAACTGGCTCCCATAGGAGTTGCTGGTGTTGCAGCCTGCAGCTTTACCCACTATGCCACAACACCAGCCCCCAATAAAATAAATCTGAGAGAGAGAGAGAGAGAGAGAGAGAGAGAGAGAGCAGGCAGATGGTAGTGATGCCCAAGGTCAGTCTCTGAATGGGAAAGGAGGGAGAGGAGGGGAGAAGGTGGCGGGCTGTGATCAGTGGCTCAGGCAAGGTCAAGACCTAAGTTCTGGGGCTGACACGGTGGCGTAGCGGGTAAAGCCACTGCCTGCAGTGCTGGCATCCCATATGGGCACCAGTTCGAGTCCCAGCTGCTCCACTTCTGATCCAG